TCTATATATACTATATTAATTTACCTGTGATAGTTGACTTTGCCCTGTGAACTGCCAAGCTCTGTCATCCTTCCCTTCAAATTCTGCTCTAGCTGGTCCCACCTTCTTGTGATTAAGCCAGTGGACCTATAATTATTTCAGAAGAACATCCTTTGTGGTTCTTCAGCTTAAGTAGAAGGTGCTACCCTTTAAATGCGTGTGTGTTTGTAATCTTTATCCCTTTCCTACCAAGTAGTGCTTACGCTAACACATCTTTATCTCTGATAAGAGAAGACGAGAGGAAGAGAGATGGTAGAAGAGGCAGAAGATGGTATTTTCCCTGGCATTGCCGTTTGCCAGCTGACATGGGTTGGGTCTCGTTGACAGTAGTCTTAACATATGAGCTTTAGGTAACTCCATAGGATATCACATCTTCCCTCGCAGAACGGGGAGTGCGTGTAATTTGGATACATCTGTGATTAAAGTGTTTTGGTACCTGAGTCCATTTAGCCTCCAGTCTTGCATTTGCTCTTAAACCACACCGCCTACAGTGGTTTCTTTCCTGTACCTCCGTCTTGTTTGGGCATCCCTTAAATTGTGTTTTGCTTCTTGTAACGGATTGAGGTTACTGTGCGATAACACATTCCTCTTCCATAGGTCCAGCGAAGGAGCACTTCAGGGTTAAAAGCCAACCTGGGAATTAAAGGAGCAATAAGAGGTGGGAATAGGCTGGCCTGTGAGTTACACGGGGACCAGTTTAGAGTCTGAGGCCTGGCAGCTGAATAGATGAGCTTCTGGACGTGGTGACACATGTACCTCTTCCCTGTGACAAACAGTAATGAGAGACTGAGGAGGGAAATAAAGAATAAAAAATAATAACAATGACACATGAATACACTCAACTGTGGAGCGCAATTGTATGTGTCAGGAAAAAATTGAAAACTGCTTCACGATACGTGATAATATTATTCCCTGCATGGGCGGTGGGTTTGGGTTTTTTTGGCAAAGAGTTGCAGAATTGTGAAATTTTGCCCCCCAAATGTCTGACTGGGCTATACAGTATTTGGCCTCTTAAGTGTATCAGAAATTGAGAATTTTCAGTCATCCAAATGTGTCTTTACGAGGAAAACATACTTCTTTCTCAGCTAATGAAATAGGCGGATTTTGAACGCGGTGACTGAAAGCTTGGAAAACAAAAGGAAGTGACAAGAGAGAAGTTGCTGGACAAAACCAGTGGTGATAAGGGAGGTGTGAACGTTGGCAGCTGAACCAAGACAGTAACTGTCGGGGTCTGAAGGGAAGTTTCTATGGAGGACAAATGTCTTCTGTCAGGAAAGAACAGCAGGCCTTTTGAGGCCCTCCTTATGGGGCCTGATAATGACGGAAAGATGAATCTGTGACCACTGGTATGAGAACAGGAACCGGGAAGTTTGTTGTCACTTTTGTCTCGTGATGGCACTCTCCTCCTCTGGAATTAGTTTTATTTGGGAATGTGATATTATTGCTATTTGTAGTCAGTGGGTTTGTCAGTTGAAGATATTTTAAAATGTTATAAAGATTTCATTGCTCGGATGTGGAGGGAATATTCCCTGTGTTTGCCTAGTTGAAAACAAACTCTTGTTGGAAAAACACCAACCGTAACTTTTTGAGACTAAGTTGTTAAGTTATGAAATGGGTTGTATTTCATAGACTGGAGAAAGTCAGCAAAACCCTGGGAAATCAGCAGAGGGAGGAGAACGACTGTAAATCAGCAGTGTAATAGAGCTGTGAAAATAGAAAATGTCACACGGCGATGGCTGAATCTCCAGCTGATGCAGGGAAGTTACAGTGCCGTTGTACAGACACTGGTGAACTCCTCTCTGGAACGGTGCATCCAGTGCTGACCGCGCTTGTTCAATAACGTGACCTAAAACTGGAATAACTGCACAGAAGGGTGACATAAAGAGCCTGTCGCATGAGATGACAAAGATTGACTTTCTTGGCTTTTCTCTAGCTGCTAGGTAGAGAGTGAAAGGATGTGATAGTCATCTAGAAATACCTTTGGAGGGGAAGACAGGTGAAAAGCCCTATTTAAGCCAAATAAGTGTGTTGCAGAAATCAGTAGGTATAATTTAGCCGTGAAGATATCATCATTAGCTATAAGATGTAGATTCCTCACTGTTGGAATGGCAATGAAACCGTTCTGGAAGACCTTCTGGATAGATACTGGGTCAAAACAACTAAGTACTTCTATGAGTTTAAGAAGTTTGAAAAAAAGAGTAGTATAGGATGCCTGCAAAGCACCTGGACTCGATGAAGAAGATGGCTCTTTTGGTTCTTGATTAATAATGGGCAGAACATGGGGTTTGTACAGTTTCAAGGAGCCAGGAGAATATTCAGATTTTCTATGCATGAAGTCTGTAGCTTTCAAAGGCTAACATGCCTTAATAAAATTCAGTTTAGTGCCAAAATTTTTACTATTTTATAGCAGACCAAAGTAGCATCCTCATTGGTAGTCTCAGGAAATGAAGGCTGTAATGAACACTGCTTTCCCTGTCCCTGTCAGAGCTGGTCCCTCAAGCCCAGTGCTAACGCACAGTGCTTGGGCTGTACGGGGTCAGTATTTCTGCTGGAGTTGCTCTGTGAATTGATAAAAGATTTCACTACTCTCTGCTGAAAATGGATATTTCAATATTACATGGTAAAGCATTTAATTTTCTTAGTTTAATTTTCAGTACGCTCTGATCATATGGCAACAGTTAGGTGACTACTTTCTTGCTCTGTCTTTTGCCTCTAGATTAAAAGATAAAGTTTTATTATCATTAGTCTCTGGAACAGGAGTATTTATTTTTTTAAAATGAAAAGTAGGTCATTTACGGGTGAAGTCATGCTAGCTTCCATAGCACAAATTATGTCAATATAAACCAGATATTTAGAAAACGAAGAAATGACCCACACATCCCTGAAAGCTGGAGAGGAATCTTAAATGAGATGCTCTTTATTGTGTCTGTTATTGACACACAAACATTATATCTCTTGTCTGTTCTGAAAAGAGAATATATTTGTAAAAGGCAAATAATTATTATTTCTAACTTGTGTATTAGTCTGTTTCATGATACCACGCAGAAATGTTAAGTCTTGTACAAGAATACTGTGCACTAATCAATCGAGTGAAGAGTGGGTGTGAAGTCAAGCTGCAGGTCTTTGCAGTTGCAGAGTGTGTGTGTGTGTGTGTGTGTGTGTGTGTGTGTGTGCACATACACACACCGGGGGGGTGTATGGTCCTCATCACAGCACAACCCATTTGGTTCTATGATTGCAAAATGAGCTTTACTTGAATTGTTGAATCTTGAGATACAAAGTTCCATTACATTACCTAAATCAAATCCCCAGAAATACAGATTGTAGAAAAATATGTAATATTTTAACAACTTACTTTAAGTGTAATAGGTGTTGGCCTTGTTATTGCTGATGAAATACATACATACATACATATATATAAAAGTGTGTATACATCTATATGCACACAGTTCTTTGGCTGTTTTCCTTCCACATTAAACATTTGCTTTGCAGACATAATTTTTACTTTGCACATCATCTGTAGTACGCACATTTTGGTTTATATGGACCTGAATGTTAAGTATGTGTTTTTTAAAATGTTCTTAAAGTACAGCTGGGATACAGAATTACAATGAAAGACAAGACAGGAATTCAGAATGGTTTTGATAAATAGAATTCCCTGTCAGGAATGGAGTTATCCCTCAGGAATGTTATAGGTAAAGTTTATTCTGCCTTATGGCCTGGTGATGGACTACATGACCTTTCCAATTCTCCTCAAGCCCTATTTTATGATTCTGTGATCAATTCATTTTGGCATTTGACACCTGCTCTACATATACTATAGATAATTCTACTGCCTTTAATACTTCTAATGATTTTTTTTTTTTTAATTTATATATCTTGCACATGAATCACTTGGACTACATTTAAAATGTATTATTTATTTGAAGACAGTAATAATAAAGGATATGGGTCTCATTTGGCTATTTAGGAAACATGTATTCTTTCCAGCCTAAAACATTCTACAATGCTGAATTTTTATGAGAGGTTACAAGGCTATAAATTACTATTCTTTAACATAAAGATATCTCAGGGTTTATATGCTGTTGATCCAATGTAACTCCCATTAGTGGTAATAACTAGGAGATAATTCACTTCATTTGGAAAATGAAATCCTGGTTCTGAAAGTAGTTTTAGTAGCATTCATTCTGGAATCAGATTATTCTTTATAGCATGTTAAAGTCATGGCAAGGTAGTCTTCAGATTGAAAGTGTAATTTAGTCTCACAAATAGGTAATCTTGTTAAAATATTGTCAAGTTAATCAAAATTGATTTGTGTATACTAAACCCAGTGAATGCTAATCAAGTATCGGTTAGGAAGCTTTAGTAGCAATTTTAAGTCTTTGATAGTTTCCCCTTATTCTTGGATGGACTGACTCATTGGATTTGTGGAAACATTTTAAAGCCTGAACATCCTTCCAAGACTGGATACAAATGCCCTGCAGACTAAAGCATCTTCTTTAGAAATATATTTTCAAAAACCTGACAGTGTGGGTCGCTGTATTTGTTATACCTCATATGCAATGAATTGTTCTCCAAACCATGTAAGTGCTTTGCGGTTTTGCCCCTCTTTGATATTTGTAACTATCTTGCTGGTTGTTATAAATAACGGTTAAAGAGATATTTAAGATTGTAATGTAGTCGTTGCACGTATGAATACCATCCATTTAAAAGACAAGTTTTACAAGGTGTATCTGTGGTGTAAGGAAGCACATTTAGAACTTCTGTACATTACACAGTTCAGAAGACGTGGTGAATTTTTTTGGTAATGATATAATTATCAATATGGGCTATATGGGTTATTGATAGATGAACCCCCTGAAACGACAAGGAACAAAACCTTACTTTGCACAGAGCCACCAGGAGCTTTACACTCTGCTCACACCCTTTGAAACTCACAACATCTTATTTTCTTTCAACAGAAAGCTTTTCTTTACAGACTACGGGAACGCTGCCAAGGTTGAGAGATGTGACATGGATGGAATGAACAGGACGTGGATAGTAGACTCCAAAATTGAACAGCCAACTGCTCTTGCCCTAGACCTCGTCAATAAATATGTGTACTGGGTTGACATATATCTGGATAGCGTGGAAGTTGTTGACTATCAAGGGAGAAAGAGACATACAATAATTAAAGGCAGACAAGTAGGTATTTATTTGCAAATTAGTAAAAAGTAGTGATATCAATAAATGAACATACATCATGCTAACACAGTAATTTCAGGTTTGGGGTTTTTTTCTCTTTTTAGTTCATTAGACATTAAAAGATCCACTTGCGTGTTTTGTTTCATTTGCAATTTAGCCCGGTTTTCAACCTCTGGACAAGCTTCCATGCAGTGTTTCGTTAACAATGCACGATCTAAGTCACACTCCCCCTTGGAAGAGACTTCAGGAGGGAAAATATGGGGCGATGGAAAGATGCTAGGGGATAAATTCTTAATGACAAGAAGATGTTCTTGCCAGTTGAGGAAGAAGAGCCTAACAGGCGCAAGAATGTGAAAGAAACAGAATAGCAAAAGCTATTCACCTGTTCAGACCAATCTGGATGCCCTTAAATCATATTTTGTTGATGGCAATGATGCTTTTCCCAGTTGATCCAGATGTTCAGTCATAAATACAAATGCTGAGACTGTATGAGTCTTTGAGCAGGAGTATATCTCCCAGCTTGGAGAGCAGCGTAGTGGGTGGCAGGGAAAGGAAGGGTTCCCTGGCACTTGTGAGGCTTATGTAAATTGAGGGAAAATTAGCAAAGACCAAATAGCTCCTGGTTGCTACTTGGACTCCCAGAGCTGGTGTGGGTACCACGTTTACATCTGCTACTGCCTGAGGTTAAACAGAGTGTGTAAAAATGTGCAGACAGAATAAACGTTTTACCTGTTCTGCTGTCATTCTTTGCTTGCTTCCAAGTAATGACTGTTCACCAAGAGACAGCTGGCTAGCATAACTACCATTTGAAAATAGGCAGAAAATGTGATAAAAACCAGTGTAGGTCACCTGGGTATATAGCAAACACCTTCCTGTTTTTTACCAAATTACTCCTAGCCTTTAGCCAGTTGTTCTGGAATGGCAGGTCTTGTAAACTCTTTTTTTCAGGTAACATTTTGGAATAGATACTTAAAAAAAGAAAGCCATCTTCAGAAGCAACCAATAAGTACTTTGAGAGGCTTGTAACTGAGTTGTACTGGTGTCATAGGACAGATGCTTGTGCTTTCCCTTCTTTTTGAAGTTTAGATGCAAAAGAGGATTCTTTATCAAGTTCAAAGCAATTCTTTCTTCTCTAAACTAGCTAAGAAAGGAGAAGGATGTCTTTTTCTTTCCATATGGGTGAATGATATTCAAAAGGGTATTAAGAAGTTTGGCCTCTTGCTTGGTCGCTGCTATCAGCAAAGGAGAGGCATATTGGTTGTCTTGCCACTCAAATGAAAAATTGGTAATTTGACAAGGTTTTGTGCCTGCATTGGCCAGGATTTATAATGACTGTTACTCCAAGTTGCTCCTCATTAGTCCAAGGAAACAGCAGACCAGAAAACTATTCTCAAGAAATTTTAGGGATTAAAGTTTATTTCCTAATTACAAGCCTATCAAACGACATGCTTTCCAGATGATAGGGGCTTTTATGATTGATAGTCTGGGTGGCTTTCAAAGGACTATTCTTTGTGGCAAGCAACATTTCCATTCGTGCATAAGATAGCTGGAAAGCTTCATGAGACATAAAAACCAACAAATGCATAAATTAAATACAAATAATTAAGTCGTCATGAAATGCATTGTAAAAAGAGTCACATAGTTTTAATAGTGTAAATATAGAAAAGCTCTCATGGGAGTTAAATAATAAAGCTTTAAACTGAGTGCAAACAGAAATAGGGAAGAAGGGATTATAATGCAGAGGAGAATTCAACAATTTGGTACAGATGCATCATTATTTTCAAGTCTGTTTTCCATCTTGCTATAATTGGGTTGAATTTCTATTGGGTCTTAATCAAACACTTACATTGATTTTTTTATTATTTTTTTTTTTTCCTGGGTAAGAGCAGAATACAATGGCAAGACTTGGCCAACGGGGAGGCAGATTTCCAAAAAGGACTGAAATATTTGATGCACGACAGGGTTTTTTTGTTTGGTTTTTTTTGGTGGGTTTTTTTTTTTGGTGACGTATGTCTGAATTTGTGAGTAAATGAGCTAAGTAAATACTTTGTGGTGAACAGTTTATTGATTAGAATAGTAAAATATTCAGCCTGTGAATATCTGAATATCTGCCAACAAATTCTCTTTAATTTGTTCAGCTTTCAAAATTGCCAATGAGATATTTTACATTTTCTAAATCTATAAATCAATCACAACCACTAGATTGTCGAACACTTCTTGTTTGAGCTGTGATTGGCTAACTTACATTAGGTAATTCTTAATCCATGTACCCAGACACATCACAAATTAATATAATTTTAGAACTCACTTTTTGAGAAACAAGCAGTACCATATGACAAGAACCATATTCAGAAATTCCAACACAAATGGAATGCAAGCATAGATATGGGAATTTGTTCATTTATTCATTTTTTTATTAAGAAAATATTCAGTGCATATATCTTGCACTATTTGCCTTGCTTTGATTGTAATATAATAAAAAAAAGCATCAATTCAACCTATATACTGTGTTTTAATTATCTATATTTACTATATTTATTAGTTATTGCTAGTTAATATTAGCTAATTTATCTTGGTTATTATTAGCTAATTAATATTAGTTAATACTAAAATAAGCTGTTGTCTTTTAAGTATGAAGGAGTTTTTAATTTAAAAGACAGAGAAACGGGGAAATTCAGAGGATAAGTGAATTTGGATTTCTAAATATTTTGACTTTTCTTCCCTCTACAAAGCTTTTCTAAGTATAAACTTCAGACCACAAGAACGTGAACTATACTTGTAGCGTAGTTTTTGTTTATTATTTACAAACATTCATTGACATATTCAAAAATGCTTTTGTACAGTTTAGCAGGTACAATTCTTGGTAATGTTTGATGTTTACAAATCATAGATATACCTAAAATATTCAGCTAAAATAATTATACCATTTTTTTTCTTTTCCAGATAAGGCATCTTTGTGGTTTGGCAGTATTTGAAAACTATTTATATACAGTTAATTCAGATAACCTCAGCATTTTACGAATAAACAGATATAATGGCACCGATGTTCAGTCTCTTGCGAGACTTGACAACGCTAAAGAGATCCGTATATACCAGAAAAGAACTCAAACAGCAGGTAAGATCAAAATTCTTCTTTCCAGGAAACGTAAACCCAGATATTAGGTGGATGTATGGTTAAAAAGGTTCTTCTAGAACGATGTATGAGAAGATGCAGTGAAAATTTGTCACTGGGGCAAAACTCTCTGTTGCTTCTTCATCTGCCCAGTTTTCTATGTGCTTACTGCCAGTTTTCCTGCGTCTCTGAGCTCCTAACACAACTGCTTCCTGAGCGTTCCGCTTGGAGAACTGCCAAAGACCCCTGCTCTGCAATTTTTCTGTCTCCGCACACTCAACACTTGCAGAATTTGACACCATCAGAACTGTTAGATGTCCAATACTGTCCACACGCTTGGGTCTCAGAGCTCAAATATTTCTGGTTTCTCTGGGCCTGCTTTTCAGACAGACTACAAACCTCAAGAGAGCCCCCGTCTTCGGGGTTGCCAAAAAAACCACGGAGATGTGGGCAGCTAGCCTGCCTAACTGCCAGCACAGCAATTGCTGAGGTAGGAAATTGCTGTTAAGTTTCCTTGGTTTGAATAAATATCATTTTTGCCTTCTGTGAGAAATCTTCATTATTGTCTAGAATGAAAAACTTTTTCTAATCTCAGAATTTTTGGCAAAATAGCAATTTCCGAGGTCCATAGTCCTGTATGACTCTAATCATGGCTCTGATCGCGTACTTTCTGCATGCGGAACAGCAGTGTGATTTGTGGGAACTTTGTGCAAAGATAGCAAGATCCAAAATGTTTACAGCAATACTTTATGAGAATTCTTTTTATGTGGCTGATAGCAATAAATCGTTGCCATGACTGCTTGGACAGAAAAGCTAACGCATCAATTCTGGTGATCAACGTCAATGTTATTAAACAGACTGACTGCTTTTAGAGAAGTTTCTGAAGCGGGAACAAACTCTAAATTGATGTAGACTGGGTGAACTAATTTTCGCCCTATAGCTGAGGGCATCGATTTGCAGATGTCGGTGTCTGAAGGAGGCTGCAAAGACTCTTGCCTTGCTATAGGCCCCCCTCGCGCACCCCTGAGGGAGTCAGAGAGGCTGAGTAGAGGAGAGACATGAGCACGGTGTAATCTTTTATTACATCCTGTGATTACTCTGTTCCTCTTGCCCTTTGTTCACTCTGCTGTTTCTTTTGTTTTGAATGGACATCTTTGTTGCTTGTCAAGATGCGCTGTAAAAGCTGTCTCAGCTTGGTAGAGTTTCTGTATACCTTTAACAATATCGACCTTAAACCACTTGATTACTTTTTTTTTAAAAAACAACTAAAAAGCTTGAGGGAAAGGAGAAAGAAGAGAAAAGCATTTTTTGTGCTAAAATACTGTTGGCCTGTTGTAAGCCGGCTTAGTAAATGTAGGATAGCAGGATAGATTTTGTTTTCTCATTGGATTTACCTTAAAGAGTTTAAGAAAATGAATTTGATATATTAGTCTGCTAATTTAGAACTATCCAATTGAAAATATGAAGTCAAGGGAAAGGAATTTGGCTTCTTCAGCTGGATTTCTGTCCCAACTGTACAAATGTGGAAAAGTGCTACAAGGCTTGTTCTGTTCTTTAGTTTCTGCACAGGCATCTGCCCCAGAAAGGTGCTGTCTAACAGAGCTGAATGAATAGCAAACTGCGTTGGCATGGGATTCCCTCTGTTCTCAAAGAGCCAACCAACCAACCGAATGAACTGAAGCAACAAATGAAAAAGGGCAAAAGTGTCAGCTACCCCAGGGGAGTGCTGCCTGGCAAACGCTGGGCAGAAGCTTATTCAAAAAGGGGTGATCACATACAATGATGGGTACGGCTTCATAGCCACAAGATGGCCCTTTGGATTACTTGTCTGTTTTGAGTATCATCTTAAAAAAAACACTTTATTTTGTAGTTATATTCCGGGGAAAGATTTATTGTGACACAAATTCCCTTCTCCTCCTGTCTAAACTTTCTACATGCCGATGCATATAATCATCTTGCTTTAAATGGATTTCAATCGTGCTGTTTTTCGCTCGCCGTAGTCAGAAGCCATGCATGTGAAGTGGACCCATATGGAATGCCGGGGGGATGTTCGCACATCTGTCTGCTCAGCAGCAACTACAAAGCACGGACTTGTCGCTGCAGGACTGGCTTCATCCTGGGAAGTGATGGCAGGTCATGCAAAAGTATGTTATTTAAATCAAAGAGTTTGCCAGCCGCCAGTATTTCAGGGTATCGTTCTGGGTGTTATTTAACATGCTTATCAAGAACAATAGAAATCACATGGGCTGCTTTTGGGTAAAATTTGTTTGCAACACGTACCTGACACTTTGTTCATAGACTCCTTTCATTCCCTTTAAATGATTTGATTTGGCTCAGTTCATAGAAGTGAGAAATTAAACCTGGGATGCTGTTTAAAGAATTCTAAAAATTATCACAGGTTTTAAGTTAATCAGTCTTACTCTTTCTTTATATATTATGCATTTTCACAGCACATAGGTACTGAAATGCAGTTAAATAGTTTGTCATACCTAATTTCTACCCATACAATCACCTTGAAACTGAGAAGCAGACCGTTCAGGTGCATACGTCAAGCAAGGTTTTTCTCATAATACTTTGTGAGAGTAAGTTTGATTTGTATAACTATGGTTATACCTAACATTATGTATACACAATCCGTTGGTCACCTACAGCCAACGGAAGAGTTCTGAAAGTTTTGGGGAACATCTATTTTTGTCTGGTTTCTTGATCAAATGGCATTGATTTAGTTCAGATGAAATTGTAAGAGGTATATGGATAGTACTAAGGGTCTGAGGATGTTTCTCTTTAAGGAAAGAAAATCACCTTACTACGCTTCAGTTATTTGTAGTTAACCTACTTGATTAAATTGTAAAAATCTCCTCAGAAATAGGAAATATTGGTATCCATATTTTGTATCTCAGTATGAAAGAACAGTGTGTGTTGATTTGTTGTATTCCTTCCCATTTGAAAGGAATTTACTGTAATCTTTTGCCTTGTTTGTTTCTGAGAAACTTCAGGTGAAAAAAAAAAATGCTGTTTCGTATTTGCTGGAGTTTCTGGTCGTGTTAGATTTAATGATTACTTCAGTCATGGTCTACATTACCCTGATAGATCCTAATGAATTGTAAAATTGAATGTCTACAAAGCTATATATGTCCATTTCACAGGAGATGCAAAGTTATTCTGTGATCTAGCATTGCTTTTCAGTGTGAACTTTTATAGAAAAAATTAATTAGACATAAGCATCTCACTGAAGTAATTTGTATTTTAATTAAGGTAATATAATTAGCTAGATTTCTTGAGTTTAGATACCTTCAGAATATATGAAAGTTTAATTTTCGGTATTGAATAATGTTCCTGCTCCCCCACTAATTGTGCCAGTTAATTACACAGTAACATTATGCACTGTAAAGAAGATTAGGCAGCTTCCGTTGTTTATGTTTGTAATCTTTCTTTTGCAGGACCAAAGAATGAATTGTTTCTTTTTTATGGGAAGGGACGCCCAGGAATAATACGGGGAATGGACCTGAATACCAAAGTATCTGATGAATACATGATCCCTATAGAAAACTTGGTCAATCCTCGTGCTCTGGACTTCCATGCCGAAACCAATTACATTTACTTTGCTGATACTACCAGTTTCCTAATTGGACGACAGAAAATTGATGGCACAGAACGAGAAACAATCCTCAAAGATGGTAGGCAATGCTAACTGATAGTGACATTCAGGGAATCTCACTAAGGAGAAGTTGAACTGACATTTACAGATAATTTAAAGCTTTATTTAAATCTCTTGTGGAAAACAGACCCAAACTAGGCCTTGAACAGAGTTGGAAATTTATTCTTTTTTTACGACTTCCTGTTTATTTTTCCTGAGTGAAGAAATGTACAGTTTGGTTAAGTTGCTCTGTTGTGAATTCTTAATTTGCCCATTTAAGCGTATCCCTGCCAGTGAGTAACTCCTACATCTCCACTGTATTCTCTTAGTAGTTGGATACAATGCATCCGTAATGTAGTTCTTTGTAATTGTTCGCTGAGCCATCCCATATTCTTGTGGACTTAATAAGACTCCTTCACTCCAACCTGTACCACAACGTGGATTCTGGAGCTTATTCGAGTAGGTTGGCAGAGTGAGACTTCCCGTAGTGCTTGCAAACTCATTAGAGAAAAAGACAATGATTTAGCATTGTCTTTCCTGATGCATTTATCATTGTATATGTGGAACCAACAGGACAACCTAAACATTTTTTAGAACCTTAATTAAGACTCTTGTACCGTTTATTACACCAATGAGAGGAAATACCACCAGTTCTCTAGTTTGCACCTCTATCACCACACTTCACAGAATGTCCCTGTTCTAGAAGCAGATCTCATCATGCTAAATTCTGTTTCAGTGATAAAACCTCCAGTTTGTCAACTCGTATTTCTTTTTCTTTTATGGACCATTTTCATGAAAGACTGCTGCAGCAGGAGGTAGCAACTGCTTCATTTTCTAGTACTTAAGAAAATAAGCAGTATGAATATTCATCTTGGCCGTCAGAGAGTTTAATATCTTTACTTGTAAATTGAAGCTCAAGACAGTGAAAATAACTAAAATACCTTTGTTTTAGCTCAGGGATTTTCATTCCCTGTCATTCATAACCCGTGTTTTAATCCGCCCGTCTCAAAGAAGTTATCTGCAGTTTGCAGTGGTATGGTGCTGTTTTGGTATAAGGTGTCTCCACAGACCTCAGAGTCTACACAAAGATCCCTTCAGTAGTAGTTGAAAGGAATAGACGTCTCGTTACACAGTATTGGTGATTGCTTTATAAAAGGCAGCTGACCAGATAATGAATACTCAACTGTCAATCTGGTAATTCCTCATTTCACTGCAAATATGGAAATAGGTAATATACATCACAGAACTTCCATTGCTGATCTTCTTTTACTAAACAGCACACATTTCTTTTTACAACAAAGTAATCCAAATGTGGAGTAGAGGAAGGAGCGGACAGTATGTAAATTTCAACATTATAGGGCAGCACCAAGGAGCATCCTTGCTGAAAGGTGTCAAACAGGTTGGAATTAGTCTAATCAACATGCAAACATGAATAAACTTTGTATACCAAACCAATAAATTGAAGAGACTCTTTTAAATAGCATTTAATTTGAATTCTTTGTAGTTACAACATAGCAAAAATACCAGTGCAATACCAAAAGACTTATGGTTTATCCAATGATGTATTACTTGTGGTCCTAATACTTACAAAGACCAAAAAAATGTCAGTCATTCTCCCTCTACTCCCTCCCCAGGAGCTTACATTGTTAGTTAGATCTTGATATAGTTTCATAACTTTAAAGTATGTTTAAAGAACACTTGTTACTGTATTTTTCATGATTTATGAAATTAATATGGCCTCCAGCCATACTACCTCAGCTTTTATTCTTGTCAGCTCTCAAGAACTCAGCAGGGACAGATTAAATCGTTCCTTGGTGGAAGGCTACTAGAGAAAATCAGGTGTGTCAGGAGGTGGTTTAATATTCGCTCTGAACAGCACGAGGCTAAGGAACTCTATCTGTGGTAGGTGTCACTTCTCAGATTAGAAGTTGTCATTTTTTTCTGACTATCAGGTTTTACAAGAGCAGATACGCTAGCTCAAACAACACTATAACTCAGATAATTACAGTTTGCCTACATGAGAGCCTGATCCTACAAGCTGTTGACTGGGAATTGAGAATGCTGAGCACCTAACGCTGCTGGAGTTTGATTTCCGTATAGTTTCAGCTGTGATTTCTTATTCTTCACTTTGGGAAACAAACTGCTGTGTAGTATTGATAAATATTTGACAGCCCACAGCACAGCCTATCCTACAGTTGGCAGCACAACTGCAATAGTAGTGTACTTTTACCAGCAACAGAAATTGCTATAATTAAGGTTTCAAACTTGCATGTCAAATCCATTTTTAAAATAAAAAATGGGAACAAACTAGACATTTTTAAAGCACTTTAAATATTTTTCAGTTGAAGTAACTGTTTTTTTTTTTACTTGTCTTTGTCCCCCTTATGCTGTTTGGGGTGGCTGTGAGCCTAAAAGTGTTCTATTGTTCACTTGTAAGTATTAGCATAAATGGTCAAGGGCTAACTTTTAGCTTAAACAAGGTCAAAGCAAATCTGTAAAGATCTTTGAAAGCTGTTTAGCTGGCTGGTATATAGAAGAACTATTTTTTTCCCAGGTTTTCATGTTAATCTAATATTTTAGGTGCTATTAGTGTACATGACCTAACTGGCATTGAGCTAGGCCATTCTGTACCAGATTATGCACCGTGTTTATAATTTCTTGCATATTTAAAACCAGCGTGGCAAATTGTTGACTCTAGAAACATGATATTTTTTAAAATCTTGTATCTATATTCAGTATATTTGGAGCCCACATACTACTGTTGATTGTAAAATTCTGGTAGTATTTCCAATTCAATTATCATGTGAAGAACAATCAAAATGGTATTTTATTCACCTCATACTTTTTGTGTTGAAAGAGCTTTGGTGCAGAAAGCCTGGCTTACTCTAGTCAAATCAGAGTTCAACCAGAATGGCAGAATGGCCATTATTTTGTTCCTGCTTGCTACTTGATGTGAAGCCCGCCTAAAAAGTAAAGAATGTATTTAAAACTTTCAGATAGTTAAATAAAAGTGAACTTAAAACCATAACTTCACAAAAAGAGCGTGAAGTGTCTCTATAGGATTGTGCTGTAGAATTCTCCTTTATTTTAAAACTTTCTGATATATATTTAGTATCTAATTACTATGAGGTTTTGTTTTTTTTTATTTAGATTGTATTTGGTCTAGAAATATAGATGCTCCAAAATGACTGGAGAAGGCATGGTAGCTCAGATACAGGAACTCAATGATCTTCAAGGTCCCTTCCAACCTAAACCATTCTATGATTATATGAAACTGAATAGACTTGGAGCAACATGCTTGTAAAATTTAGGAGGTGTCTAGCATTCTAATCTAATATTTATCTTTGCTGTTGATTGATAGAAATACACTCCATATTTGGACTGTTTTGTCTCCCAAAGCAGAAAAAAAAAAAAAAAAACCAAACCCAAAAACCAACATTTTCATTAAAAAGCTGATCTTATTAGTATAAAAGCTGTGTTTAACCCAAAATGTCTTGGTCAGACAGCATATAAGTAAAATGGATTTTGAACAACTCACTCTTGTCCTCAAGCTTGATTTTAGTCATGTCAGTCTTTTCTTGAATTGAGCGAAATCTGCTGAGACTCCTCTGAGCCCTAAAGGACTTTTCTCTCGCTCCTGAAGCTTGTCTGTGTTCCTTGCTATGTTTAGCAGTCTTTCTCTGTGAGCCTTGGCTACTAGGTCCTTGGCGAGAATGCTGTCTTCTTTTCCCTACCATACTTTGCACTTCTCTCTTCTCAACATGCTTGATTGCTCCAAGACCGCCAAAGGCCACTCTCCCACTTTCAGAGAGTTTCAACTGACTCTGACATTGCCTTTCTAAAAGAATGTAGCAAAGGCACTGAGAGACAACGAATAAAACTGTGTCTATCAGCCTGGGAAACCCGGATGAGCAGCTGGCACTGCTTTCACCCACCCTGTCTGATCCACGGTTTTGTTCTTTGACTGGATGATACTTGTCAGACTGGGTGGTTGCTGGGTTAGGTATGTCATCATACTGTTGCGGCATATTCTCCATCTGGAGAGTGAATTTTGACACCATTGCTTCCTTCAAGCTTTTTAGATTGCAAGGTAAAATACATGCCCAAAAGTAATAGTGAAGTTTAGATGGATCAGAAATATGGACAAAAATGTTAAACACATTTTGGAAAACCTCTCAGCATATGCTACTTTTTTTTCCCCCCATAACTTTCTCATATTGTGTCTCACAGTATGTAGTGTCATCTCTAGACCCGTGACTAAATTTACATCTAGTTTCATATGTGAACAAGGTTTAGGTCATACTTTGGTTGGGTACCTTTGTCTCTCTGTAATCTTTTAGACCTTTAGAATAATTTCAACTTAATTTCATATATAGGGCAGAGATCCAAGTATAATTAAAATCCTAACATTTTGTAAAAATAGGGAGAGGAAGATATCAAGAACCGATGATTTGCAAGTTCACTCTCATTTTACTGATTTCTGCAGCTGGGCATAGAAATGTGAACACAGAAAATCTGAAATGGAATTATAACGAAAGAGAAGAAAAAATTTCACTATTCTTCACCTAAGTAGTCAAACAACAAAGGAACACGAGTACAGAGGGAGTCAGGCTTCAATTGCTCCCATGTTCAAAAACCTACACATTTAAAAATGGCAGCTGGAGATGTTACTTACCTTTAATTCCTGTTACTGTTCAGGTCACTGCTGGTGGTAGATTGTACTTTGCAGTTCAAGGGTTAAAGAAAAAAACAGCAAACAAAACCTAGCAAGTGTAAAATACATCACAGTTGTATATACATACATATACACATAAGTCTCCATGAATGTTTAATTTAACATAAACAAAATGGATGGGATAGGATAAATACACACTTGGAATTATAGAGAACATAAAAGCTAGAAAGAATCCTGAACTAATCTTGACCTTGTTGATTTCTTCAAGACAAATAAACTTATTTCTCAATTACTTTCTATGTTATTGTCAATACTTTCTTTCCTTTTATGATTAAAAAAAACCCTCATTTGCACATTTATCTTTATTCATCTGTGCTGTTGTGTCCGTTGCCCACACAGAGGATACTGATAAGGGAAAAAACAGTTTTAAAAATACTACATCGCTGTCACGCTATGACTTTCAGTAGGCACAAGCTGCTTTTATTTTTCTATTTTCAACCATCAAAAGCATACTGACTGAAGTATCTCTCTTAATAAGGGGATCCTTGTTATTTTTAATATACTTCAATGTTGTATATAAATGCATTTTCCTTTTTTTTAAAAAAATAAGTAGTTATAAAATGAACCAAAAATGAAAAATTTTGCAATGACAAGGTATTTGAAACCATTATACCTCTGCTAACTTGATAGGGAATATGGTGGTATTACTATCACTAAAAAACTTAGTTCAACAAAACCACTGTGAAGTAATTTATCAGGTTCCACTGCTATTGATATTGTAGTGGCACCTTTTATAGATGCTGTTATTGCATCCAAGCGTATAAGAAGCCCGCTAGTTCATTTATTGGGTAAAACTGTCATATTTTATCTTAGTATATGGTTGATGATGTCCCATATGTTATCTATGGGTTATAGTAAGCAGAAAGTTTTGTGTGCTAAGTAAGTTATGTAGACTGCGACTCGGTAAAAGAGCTTTGCATTCCCATCCGTCACAAAGGATGGGAATTTTACTGATGTCTTGTAGGGAATGAGATAGTTTAGTCGGTAAAGGTGTTTGGGGTTTAAAAAAGGTTATGGGTGAAGAGTTTGTCCCAAGGAAAATATGTCTGACATATTTTCTGTTGGAAAAGAAAATTTGTAGGTATGCTGAAGTTACGAATGTAAGACCTTTCCGTGAGCAGTTACTGATTGTATTATGGGGAGGCTTCTTGGTGGAGAAATCTGAGGGGAGGTTTAGACGATAGCAACACAGTGCCACTGCACAATGATGTTGCAGTAAAAATGGCTCTGATAACCACTTGAAATGTCCCCAACCACCACTTCAGGAGTTCATGGGGAGTTGTTGTCTGGAAAGCTGACAGTTAAATTACATATGTCTGGCAGCACAGTTCAAACAGTAAACAGTTGTGTTCAGTGTAGCACATTTTCATGTGTGTATCTGGTGTAAGCGTACTTTAAGCAGGATCAGTGATTTTGTCACATCAGCATTTCTTAAAAAAATATTTTTTAAAGTACATTGCAATAAAAATCTCTCTGCATCATGTTTGCTCTGAGAAAATCTTCCAAAAAACTCCAGCGTTGATCAGAAAATGACGTCGACATTGGTGAGAAAGAATAAGTCTGATGAAAGCTTGTATCTGGATGGCATTACCAGTGTAAATGTGAACAGAAAAGGCAATTTACATTTTTCAAGTCTTGATGATTCCTGTCATTGAAATTGTACCGTAGGATTGTATATCTGACTGTGACAAACAGGTAATATAATCCATAGCATCGTAGTAAAGGCGGGGGGAGGGGGGAGGGGAAATTTAGTGTGTTTTTTGTATTTTGGGGTTTTTTTTATCTTACCTTTTCAGCCATACCGAACTTCATTTTTATCACAGCAAAAGGAGGCACCAACTTGGCGCTGTGAATTCTCAGGCTTCTCAGGTGGAAGCGCTGGAGTCAGAGCTACAACACTGTTACCCCATTACCTTTTTTTTTAATCCAGGTGACGAGATACCAAAGAAGGTAACAGTAAAATGGGCGTTTCCACCTCAAGTTTGACCTCGGAAAGGATACTAAAGCGAGCAAATGTGGCCTCCTCAGCTTTGGGAAGGCGGTGTGAGGCAGCAGCCGGTAACCCTCCCCTCAGCCCTCCCTCAGGGGCCGCCGCTGGGTGCTGTGCTTTGGGTGCCGACTGCCGCAGTCCGGTCAGAACCGGTCCCAGCCGGCCCTGAGGAAAAGGGCAGGCCAAGGGCTGGGGGGGGTGTGTGTCAGGGCGGCACGGGGCCAGGGCTGCCCGGGAAGCGGCACGGAGAGGTGGTGCGACACAGCACAGAGAAATACTCCATGGAGAGACTGAGGAGAAGGGGGTAGGCAAGGGACGGGGCTGCTAGAGCGTGCCTACAGGTGAGGGAGAGGGACGGTGGTGGTCACCAACACTGTGGCCCAAGCCTCCATTGCTCCCCTGGGTGTCAGCGGCCCTCTGGTATGGCCTGACAAAGGCTGGGCTCGTGCTGTCGGTGAGGAGTGACCGGAGCGGGAGGAGCGTGCCACAGGGCTGGTGGCAAAGGGCCGTGTCTGAAGGCGGGTAATGCCTCAACCTTCACGGTGCTACAAAGACCGGGAGAGAATGAGTGGAAATTCTCCGTATCTCACCCCGCGCACTTGGACTTTGATATCTTTCTGAAAGAAAAGGGGAAGGGTATGATGAAGAGAGATGGAAAACATTTTAGAGACCTTATGCTGTCAGTTAAAGAATCGGGATCTTGTGGGAGAAGGCAGAGCTCGGTTAATGTTGCGGGGTGTTGGATAAGCCAAAGGGAAAACTTGTTGCTCGGGGAATTTTTTTATTACTTATCAAGTTGGGAAACCTCCACACTGTATGGAATGAACATTCTTGACTCATTTTGGTTCTGGATGGAGCCCTACCGCTGTCAAACTCATGAGCCCATTGGTACGTCGATGGTAGCATTGCTCTTCGCTCGTGTACTGCTTCCTATCTCAATAATTTGCTCATGTGCTTAGCTGTGGAGAATAGCTCAGACTGTTGTGTTCTTGCTTACGTGGTTTGCAAGGTCAAGGGATAATGGAACAAATGTAAACTGAATGCCCATTTTGCTTTTTTTTTTTTTTTTTTTTTTTTTTAATAGGAATGAAACTTGGGACTTGGTTAAAAGCAAGATACTGGAGCTGATCCTGGAGGCTGTTCTTGACTTGAGTGATATTAATATTTAGGGGTAAAATTAAGTAGGTTTTTGTTAAATAGTGATTTGCCCAGGGCCAGCTGTGGTTAACATATGAAGGCTTATGGTTTAATACACAAGTTTTATGACCAGTCCTTGTCTGTTATAGGGTGTTTTCAGCAAAGACTAATTCTGACAGACACAGCAAATATAGTTCAGATTCAAGGAAATAATCTAATTTAGCTATATGGACCATATATTTTCCATTGTTTATACTAACGGATAATGTTAGAACATAAACATATAATATTAATTTCTTATTACTGTTTTCTCTCTCTCAACAGATCTTGATAATGTAGAAGGCATAGCAGTGGACTGGATTGGAAATAATCTTTACTGGACAAACGATGGCCACAGGAAAACAATTGCTGTAGCCAGACTGGAAAAAGCTGCTCAGAGCAGAAAAACTTTGTTGGAGGGAGACATGTCCCACCCTCGAGGAATTGTTGTTGATCCTGTCAATGGGTATGAATTAGACTAATTTATGTTGTTTAGTGCATGCCTTTGTAGCATAAACATGGGATTCAGTTTTGCTTAGGATGGAGTTTGTAGAGTCAGGTAGTAGTCTCTAATTCTACAGTAGTCTATTATAGCTGTAATTCCTGTCCAGCATTCTTGCCTGAAGCCTTCAGAAGAATGCGTATGCCCAGACACAGCTGAACCTATGTGAAGTTAATTTGAATGTGATTCACCTTTTTCTCGAACAAATTGAGTGTATCAGACCTGTATGCATTTTTAATACCAAGTGAACTTTATAATACTGTCTTTTATTTCTCTCTTTATAAGTCTCAATTTCAGAAGATAATTATAACCATATCCTTGTACACATTGGTTTACAAAACTAAATGAGACAGGTGCTTTTCATAACTTACCAGCATAATTAATTGTGATAGGCTACATAATAAAACGAACATTATATTAGCGTGGTATGTTGTGGTTTACCTAAAAATTCACTGTTAAATTTATTCAAGGAATTGTCACTGGAGAATGATGTAGGCAGGTAATTCTAGTGTGGCTGGATTGATTGCTGTTTTCCTAGTACTAGAATGTATTTACTTATCAGGTTTTCACTTTTGAGTTTGTCCTTTGAGGAATGGAATTGACTGTGGAAAGGCTACAATTAATTAAGGTCAGATAGGAAGGATGTAAAATCAGACCACAAACCATAACCATACCTACAATTTGTTAAATTTTCCAGCTCAGTAAATGCATGTCACAGGAAATAGTGTATGAAGATGTATTGTCTGAAAAGGGCCATTATATAAAAGACTTTTTCTAATAAAATAGCGCACCCTTCATGATTATGCTTCTCATGGAAGCTTTTCCTGAGGGATAGCATTTATTATGGCATTTTAATTATGTTTAGAAAATATTAGTCTTGATTTAACCAATGTAGAAGCATTAACTGCATTTTGAGATACAATTAAAGCACATTAATGTAGATGTCTGTTACTATAAGCATGTTTTAGCTTATGACATGATAACTAGGATAAGTACAGACAAAAAGTTGATGGAGAAAAGCTCAGTAATTGCTGTTGAGCAGTCATGTAAATATTTGTAAAACATATTTTGTCTTCCAATAAAATAAATACCATACTGACCTACATCTCTGCCTGAGCTTTAGGGCGTATGCGGGTTTTATAATTCTGTGATTAAACCTACTGTTGTTTGAGTCAAACATGCAATGAAGTTTATAAGCCTCTTGGATCAAAAATTGATTGATGTTCTTAGCATATATTTACAAAAACATTAAAAGAACCCAAAACAACCTTCTGGTGGGTGACTTGGAATAGACAGAAAAGAAACAAAAAAGGTACATTTGCGTATCTAAACCTGTGTAATGATAGTGCAGTTTTTTCTTTATCTTTTCCAATTTCTTATATAAAAAACTAAATTGATGAAATTATGCTTATACATAAAAGTGTGTTTGAATAAAATTTTTGACCAGTTGATTTGGCATTGTTTACCCAGATTTGGTAAGAAAACTGTTTTTCACTTCAGTGTTTCATTCCTTTGGAAATTTAGAATTTAAATTCCAGGACTCTATTCTTCAAAGTACAGACAGTTTAAGTGGGTTAGGATCACACAAGTTATTTCAGAAATTTGTAGAATTTCAGAAACATAAATCTGCTGAAATCAAAGGTGAGGCATGTAAACAGCAACTAAATCATGACAACTGTAACAAGTAGGATCCATTTAAGGTTTGTATGATGTTTTTTCTCTATTTAATGTTAATAATTGGAATCCTAGATTTCACTTTAAAAGTAAATGTCTATTATCTAGTAAGTGTTTTCAGCGTATTGATGTCACTGTGTGTCATATGATCTGAAATGCTGGTTAGATGCTTTGTAAATTACATACATGCTTCGATGTGTTTCTTCCCATGAACCTGGTTTTCCTTTGAGGGGGAAAAAAAAAGTAAGAAAAAAGAGAAAAGTGGTGTTTCTTAGCATATTTTCTACTCTCTGCTTTTGTGTAAGTTCTAGTCGTGTATTTTAAATTGTTGAAATCAGAGTTGTGGCCAACAAATTCTGTAATAAAATATGAAAGTCAGATTGATTCAATCAGGGAAAAAAGAAAAGAAAAAAAAATAATAATAGGGTGTTTTATGTAGTGTCCAGGAGAGAACGGCTCAGAGAACTGATCTGAGCTAATACTTTTAGATGACCTACTACGATGCTTACTTAATTTTTCCAAAGTAGCATAGGTACTTTTTTTTTCAGAGTTGTTTTGGTTATCTACCTTGCTGCACTATAAACTATAAAACTATGCTAAAATTGCCTACCATCTATTTTTCAAATAATTTTTATACCCATCTATCTTTCTAAACATTTTTGTGAGGGACAGAGTGCTCATAATAGTTTTTTTGAGTAATTTAGCTGCTTTCATGTGGGATGTGAAGTTCACAGAATGTCAAGGTTATCCTGTAGCTATTAAACTAGAGTGCAATTAATTCATATATTGCAGCTTTTTTGATAGTATTAAGCATAATAAAAAGCAGATTTGCATCATAAAGGCAAATTAGACTTGGCCAAAAAACCCATGAAAACAGTAAAAGTTTGAACCTCGTGACAACGTCAATAAAATTGCCAGTTTAAAAAAATAAAATCATAATTCTGGTGTGATTAAATAAGGTCTTGAACAGTTCTTCCACTTCTCATGTCAGTTAGCCCATTTGGTATTCATGTAATTCATTACAATATGAGGAAACCACCCTAAGTGTCCCTTCAGCAGCATCCAGTACACAGGGAAAGTAAATACAGTTGTAGAAATAGAAGTGGAAAGAAACGTGCAAAAGCCTAAGTTGCTCTGCCTTGTGGATATACTGTTATGAACTGCTGCTAAAAGTCTACAGTATAATTCTGATGATTAAAATGGTATCTGAATGTTCATTTTTATAATTCCTTAGCTGGATGTATTGGACAGACTGGGAAGAAGATGAAATAGATGACAGTGTGGGAAGAATTGAGAAGGCATGGATGGATGGCTACAGCCGGCAGATTTTTGTAACATCAAAGATGCTATGGCCAAATGGTTTAACTCTGGACTATCGTGCCAATGTATTATACTGGTGTGATGCCTATTATGATCACATTGAAAGGATATTTTTGAATGGAACTGACAGAAAGGTAAAAGAAAAATACTGCTGTTTTGCCACAGGCATGCTCTTTCTCTGGATTTTATTGTGTTATGTTAAAAATACTCTTCAAGCTTTTTAAGTCTGTATAACCCTGCGGCATGTCCAGTGTCATCTCTGTTGAAACAAGCAATGTTGGCAGTCTCCTGTAGAAGACTATAATACAGCTGAAAATTTTCATCTTTAGAAAGTGACACAAAAGTTGATTTTATTTTTTTTTAATCTATTTTTCTCATGTGATAACGAGTTATATTTTGATTGAGCCATGAAAGAGCTTTTCAGTAGAAAAAAAATTCTTTTGGTTCTGCCAGAGAGGCTTTCATTTAACTTCACTGAATAAGCTGCTTTTGATGAATCTCAGTGCCCTGTTTTAGCATTTGTGGTAATATGCAGAGGGGAAACGCTCAACAAGTGCTGTCAAAGATGGAGAGAGATTGTTTTAGTTGTTACTAGTGGCCGTACTAGCTAGGTACAAGTCTGTACAGAAGTTCTGTGTTTTTTTGTAGAAGTAGCAGAACAGACGTGGAAAACGGTTAAAGCTTGGATGGGAGTCTGATAATTGGAGGAAGGTTTAGCATCTGCTTCATAAAATTAGTACCCTGACAACTGAAACTTCACCATTTATTGAGAATGGTGTGCTTTACTTTTGTGGGAGGATTTTGTCACAAAATGTATGTGTCTTGTGACTTATCATTTATCCTTCACTTGTGATTCCTTCTGTATGATGAGCTTGAATAGGACCAATACGCAGATTTCTAGTACTGCAACTGTAGACAGTCCTTTCTGTAACTCATCCCTGTACAAGCTCATATTGCTTTAATATTGCTTTTATAATCCTTTATATTGAGTGATCTGTTGTTGAGCCTGTACTAATGCTGTAGTGTTGCAGTTTGTCATGGTGGTTAGGTCAGGATTTACATTTAGCACTTCTACTTTTGCTCCAAATCCATTATGGTCCTGTAATGGAGGGGGGGAGGGAGCTGAGCGCATTTGCAGAAAGACATTTTTTTAATTAGAGATGGTTGCCTATTAGCAACGCTAGACTTCCTGAAAAGTTCCTGGACAGAAGAGCTCTAGGCAGGTTAAATGCAGCTGCCATGGATTACACATGGATTACTAGTGAGAACTGCTGTTTTTGCTGGGTTTGCCTCCCACTAGAACTGGTGAATAATAAGAGCCACTTGTCTCTACAGTTTTTATTTTGAAGTGTGTCACGAAATTGTTCTTTTTTATTTTTAGGTGTTTTTCTATAATCCTGGGATTTAAATAAAATGCGTAACTGTTTGAATAAAATTTATGTAGCCAAAAATAACTAGAAGATGCTTGCTTTTGATGCTGAAACATTTGTTGTTAGTTATGGAATATTTTGGTCAAAATATAACTGGGTCAATAGCATCTATAATTCTGTGTCAGTATAGGGAAGATTTTTGAGGGTGGGGAAGTCCTACAAGAATTCCATCAGTAGCTGCTGGATAATTGACTGATGGATTAATTTTGATCAAAAGCAGTTAACTGAAATAAGGGGTTTTGACCAAAGGAGTTCCAAGCCCAAAGCGAAAATTTGAAGGGCAAAAGGGGATGGTGGTTGTCACCTCAAAGTAGTTGCACTTTAGTTGGCTTTGTCTCCTTGTTCTCTTGGCTTTGTGTCTCCAAATAGAGACAAGGTAGGGCACCTGATGAACTGCTTCCTTCTTTCTAGAGGCGAGATAGAAATACCCTGTTGGGCATTTGTTCAAGCAAGGGCCCCAGCCAGCAGAAGACGACTGGAATTTAGTCATTTCCAACTGCAGCTGCTATGTTGAAGTATAAAGGCAGGGCTTCCAAAATTAGATTATTTAGAGTTCTGCAGTTTTCTATGTCTTTTTAAAGTAAATCATTCTAATTACTGTAATTTACTTGATGGTAAGTTTAGACTCGTTTTAAAGTTTTGGTTTCGTTCTGTAGGGATTGAGAGTATTTTTAAACTCTCCCTCTTTATCAGACAGCTCTTGTGCAGTAGTAGTTGCAGCCCTTGTGAAGGAGTCCTGAGACTGTAGCAAATGACACGGTTTTAGAACATTTCCGTGGCCGATAAGATAAAGGCAAGATTTGGGGCGTAATTTGTAGTTTTATGTATGAGTTAATAACCCAAAAGTAGAAGGGGCATGGAAAAAAAAGTTTCTTTTATTTTAGGAACAAACTGTGGCATTTTTTTGGTTTTGGTTTTGTTTTGTTTTTTAAAGTTATCATAACCCAAACTAGAAAGGAAGTTCACAGAAATAAATAAGCAATCTCTGCACTTACTTCACACTTCAACAAAAATAAGCAACTCATACACACTATTCTTTGCTTTGAAAAAAACAGTTATTTGATATGCTTGACAGATACTCAATGTTATATGAAGAACCATGCTTCCTTGCTAGGGAAGGAGGTAGATATTTACTGAACATAACGATTGCATGGTTACCTACATTCCTCTGTGTTATCTGGCAGGGGACACTTAAAATGAATTTATATGAAGTTTTGAAGTTAGATATTTATGCTGGTGCATAAATGGCTTTACACTCTTTATTTTATTAATTTATTTTATTTATTTTATTAAAGTGGCTTTACACTCTTTATTTTATTTTACTGCATTAAGTTGTTATGTTTAGGCACAGTACTTATCTCAGTATTCCTATTTCCCATTTTATGTTCTCTGCAGTGTATGCTAAGAAAAATTAATAATTATTTTAACCTTGCTGGTGCTTACCTACGACTAATTAATTGCAGGTAGTATACAATGGAAAAGATTTGAATCATCCTTTTGGCCTATCACATCACGGAAATTATATTTACTGGACAGATTATATGAATGGGTCAATTTTCCAGTTGGATCTGGTTACAAGGAATGTGACACTGTTAAGAAGTGAGAGACCACCTTTGTTTGGACTCCAGATTTATGATCCACGTAAACAGCAAGGTATTTATAACATACAGTTTCTCCAAAGGTCTGTAATAAAAGGGTATTTTCCTTTGCCGTCTCCTGGTACTTTGAGGTGACTAGATGAACAATAGAAAAAAGGCTATGACTTGTGGTATGAGAAAGATACTTTCCATCGTTTCAATCCATTGATGTCGAAATTGATCATCTCATACTACTAAAAAGTGAATCAGAGTATTATACCTGTCTGAATTTCTTCTGTGCACTTACACTGCCTTTAGTGTGTGTCAGAGAAATTGTGAAAGTATAAAAAAGAACAGATAACATATACACATTGCCTCATAGACGTAAAATAAATTATTGTGTTTATCTTTTCTTAAATAAGATCATAGATCCTGTCTGTCTTTTCCTTTTTGTAATGTTGGTCTACATCAGCACCATATGACTTAGTCTCCTGCAAGTGCACGGTGCTGTTACACAGACCCAGAGTAAGGGGCCTTTGAGAGTAGTGGAAAAATCCATAGTTGTTGCTATTTGATGTAAGTAGAGAAATGAGATAAAGACCATAGGTTTGCATGCATGGAATTTAGAAAATGCAATTGCTACCATGCAGGTAAATTTACAAATGTATTTTACTGAAGAAAACTTTGGAGTCTGTATACTGCATATAGCGTTCAGTTGAGTTGTTGAATATTTGCTCTCTTAATGAAAACGTATTTCTGGTTAATGTCTGGTTAGTGCTTGCTACCAAACATAACAGGAATTAGTGTAAACAAAATACTGTTTAAAAGATGGACATATTAAATATTAATGTCTATAGATCATATTTTTTGACATGTAGAACATTTCCAGTTCAACAGTTCCTGTAGAAAGCTGGAGACACTAAGGTGTTGGCAGTCCTGCTACTTTTGATTCTGTACGTGAACGAGAAAAGAAACAAAATGTAAATTTCACCATTTATCCAAATGCTACTTAGCACAGATACAATGTTTAAATACACTTGTTAAAACAGTGATTTTTTTTTTTTTTTTAAGAGTTTACAGGACCTATTACACATACTTTGTCCCTGTGCATAAAGCCCAATTTTATTTTCACAGTATCACGACCTTCAGATCTGGATGTGGGTACAGTGTCTTGTTCATGTCTATTAGCACTTGAAAGATTTGACTGTGTCTCTGTCATTTGTAGTCAATGAATCGCTTGGAGAGCAACTGGTAAAACTAGTACAGAATAGGTAGGATCAAAACACTAGAAAACAGATTTAGGACTCAGAGAGAAAATATTTAGTCTTTATATTTGTTATAGACATATATCTATATGCCAAATATATACATTTCTCTGTGTGCATACAAAAATTATACCCCTATATGTGAAAATAAAGTCTAGTGAATATTTTCCCTATGTATACTGCCTAAATATTTTTGCATAGGTTTATTTCAGAGGTTTTACATACCACACATACTAAATATTTTTGTATTGATTTTCTTCTGTCTAGTCTAACCATTTTTTTATCCAACCAGCAAAAAAAACAACTGGTGATTTACAAAGGGAAAAAACAGTTTAGTTTTCAAAGTGATGCTAAAGTATAAAATGGGAAGTGCATATGTGTATAGGCAAAATACTTGGCATGTAATATCTGCATGTATAGGATTGTTTAATTTTATGTTTCATTTTAAAATTTACTGTATTTGAACAGTTAGGTATATAGTTAATATTCTTTGGAGAAGACAAGTACTTCTTCTCTATCTAAAAGAATGCCTTCCAGTTTGTTTTTGCTTGGGAAAACCACTTTTTACAATGTTTCACAGAATCACAGAATCACAGAATGGTCAGGGTTGGAAGGGACCTCTGGAGATCATCTAGTCCACCCCCCCCCCCGCCAGAGCAGGGTCACCTACAACAGGTTGCACAGGACGGCGTCCAGGCTGGTTTTCAATGTCTCCAGAGGTGGAGACTCCACAACCTCTCTGGGCAGCCTGTGCCA